AAATTGTCGCGCAACCCAACGTGAAGAGGTTCGTATTATTTTAGACCTATTCGAACTTTATGTACAGTGTCACGCATGGACGTGGAATTCTCATAAGGTTCGCAAAATCTTCTACACTTGGGGTGGTTTTTAGTTGATTTGAGGGGAAAAATCTATACTTTTGTCGCGTTATACTGGAGAGGGGAATCGGTGCTCACATTCTTGTTTGCATCAGCGTAAGAAGAACTCGAGGACTTCGATAACTATGTTTCATACATTTAGAGGTTCATGTACGTTTTAATTAGATCAGGGCGCATAGACAGTGACTACGTGGGTGACAGACTCATCCATTATTAGTAGCCTATCAATTAGGCGGCGGAAGTGTTGAAAACTTATCGCACTGGTTTCTCCCGGAAGCCAATTCCAAATGTGAGAGAATTTAGTGGGGAAGAAGTTACCTCGAAGGCTCGTCATACGGCACAGTTTCAACCAATACTTTATGGCTGGGTATATCTTACGCTGGAGCTGTAATTAGCTTGATTTGTGGATCATGAGATTGCGAGTGCCTATGAAATAGCCCACGATAGATTGTCAAATTCAGTTTAAGTCGCCTCTTCTAGAGAGGTTCAAAACCGAAACACGTCACATCCGGGTTTTTAGTCTAGACTACAGTTTGCTGCCAATGTTCTGAAGGTGAAATAACTTTGTGTCCCCTTCAACGTTTAGCTTATTGCATATTCGAAGGGCACTGAGAACAAACGGATAATATTCTAATAGTGGGCGGATACATAATTTATGGAGTAGAAACCTTGGTTCGGTGCTACAGAAGTTACGAATGGTACATTCTAAGCGTTTAAGTGGCTCGGGTCTGATATGAGTGGTTTGTTCCGAGAATGTTCTGTCTCTGGAATCTCTGGTGCCAAGATATAGCACAGAAGGGCGTCTAGGTAGCTTTTGTCTACGCGCATCGGGGATCGGGTCATGATTATTGTTACCTGTGCTAAGTCAGCCAAACGTCATCAATGAATTCGAAGTGGGATTCCGAACACCGCGATACAAGCTTACTCAGCTCCCGTTGGGAAGCGTCCAGAGTATTGCATAGTTCCTGAGAACGATAAGCAAACACAACCTTCAGATCATCCGCGTATAGGAACGTTTAACCCTCACCGAAGCAGTTGCGCTCATTTTTGACACAAATTATAGACAACAAAGACCCATGGACACTGTCGCGCATCACCCCACCAGTGATGTTCAGTTCCGGACTGCAAGGAGTTTGGTTTCGAGATCTGTGTACAATCGCCAAGAAGTGATTCTACCCAACCAAGCAAGGGGCCACGAACACCAATCGATCATAGGTCATCAAAGTGTATACCCTTGATATACCAAAGTATGGAGCGATGACGATTTTTCACGCTTAACGGTTACTAGTTATGAAGTTGAGGAAATCATACTGTCAAGTAGCGCAGGACTTATTCCTACGGAAACCATGCTGGGACTTTGTGATTAGGTTTTCTGTTAGTAGGTAATCGTAGAGGCTGTCTTTATCCACTTTTTCCCTAACTTTAGAGAGAACCACTATCATGTTGATGGGTTTTAGTTAATAACGTCTGACTTGTCCCTGGGCCGTGGGGAAGCGTACGTAGCCGGTTTCCTATTCACTGGGAAATGGTCAAGTTTTTTATTGATAGGGCGAATAAGTTCAGGAATAAGCTACTATTATTATTATTATACCTTGGGCAGCAACATATCATCACCACTGTTTCTCATGACGGCTGAATTTGAATCATCAACTCCCGGAGCCATTGATGGCCGAAAGTTCTTGATAACCTTTGTGATAAGTTTGATAGTAAATTCCACGACGGTGCGTGAACCTTCAGTAGGCGGGGTAAAAGTGGTCGCGTTGTGCGCTAGGACTGAAATTTTCGAACGGTCCGCCAGATTGTTCACAGACTTCAAGGAGATAGCTGCAGGCCATCCCACTGCGTAATAGACATTCCATGTCTCTCGACGACTGAAAATGTCTGTCCAAAAGATAAGTCAGACTACATATCCTAGAACCACTTTTGAGGTTATCAACCCCTCCATTTATTGAGCCTCGTGCACGTAAGCCCTTAGTTGCTTCATAAGAACCGTAAATTGAGTACGACAGCAGAGAGTGTCTAAAGGAGTCATATAGCCCAGACAACTTTTTTAGTTTATCGCGGGTATTCAACCGATGTATTCGTCCTGATTCTTTTTCACCTTAACCATCCCTATGGGAGCAAAGATATCTAAAAATGGTACCACATTTCAGAAGGAAAACGAAAGTATATGTGTTAATGAGGCTGTTGTGAAATGTTCGTCCCACGGGGTGGGCCGGAGGAAATCGATTGAGGCCTTCCATTCTATGTTTTCTTGGCTACGATATGAGATATTTCATGTGGTTTACCTGATTTCATCAAGAAAAAGATGGATTGGTGGGCAACAGAAAACTATTCTGTTGTCATTGTTAGCGAATTCATCACAAGCGTGCATGGTGACCGGGATGGTACCGCAACAAAAGACTAGATCCAGCGTGCTGCCCCCACGTGGGGATGAATGGATGTACTGCTCCCATCCATAAAAATCTTCGACATTGAGCCGTTTGTCATAGCGTCGTGGGCCACGACTGGTTTCCCAGTCAACTTCTAGGAGGTTAAAACCCCTGCAATCAGGTTGAAGTCAACACCGATGGATGTGGGATGAGAAAATGATTCAGCGATAAGGTCACTAACTCCCCTTGTTGAATGTGGCGCTCTATAAACCCAGTCTGCGAGGACTTTATAGCTGGTACCGTTCATAATGACCCATAGTGAATTAGGCAGAGGTATATATCGTACCATCTTCCATCTTATCAGCTGCGGCAGGATTGCAGAAGCAAATCAGACAACCTCCACCAGGCCTATGACCCCGGCTAGCGAGACAGAGGTATAACCAACTACGAAGACGATGTGCAGATTGTGTTACGGACATACTGAAACCCAATGGGGGCGCGCTACAATGTTATTGGTCAAATTTACTATCAAACGATCTAGGATTACCCGCCCATTGAGAGTGCACGTATGTAGTTAACGCGCAGTTCGTTCTTACTGGCTCACGACAAGCGTGGATCAAGAATGGTAGATCGAAGCGTGTTTCCCAGAGGGTGAAACAATCTTATGTATTGTAGGTCGTACTTATTGTGCGGGTTCCTCAAAACTCTGATAAGGCTCAAGAGTGGGAATATTATTAAAGGAGGAGTTATATATATTCCAATAATGCTGACTGGGTTATCGGCTTGTCAATATAAGTTTAAATGGAGTACATGTGACACGTAGGACATGGAAGTGCTCGGTGTGCCACATAGCGTCCTGTTGGGGCACGATGGCTAGATAAAAGTGGTCTGGAGTACTGTCTGGTAAGGGATACCCGTAAGTTATTGTAATATCTCCCTCTAACGGTCGGGGCAAAATGGAAAACGTACCCTTCAGGTGGGTGTGCCTTCTGGGTCACCCTAATTCCCTCGGATCTCGTAGCAATTTTGTATATTGCAAGTATGTTAGCTACGAAGTATACATCGCCATCGTAAAACAAAATGCTTGTAAAAATTGCCTTCGATAGTCCCGCAGGTTTAAAGAGCAAGGTTTTACCTGTGTCTCTGCTCGTAGTTTCATCACTGTCAACCGACAGAGTTTTGTCCATAGCTACCTTACGGGAGTTGGATAGATAATTGTGTGTTTACTTACGTCCAGGCTCTTTTGAGATTGCTGTACGGCCAGAATGATTGGAGTGGTGGGATTGTTGGTCCCAGGAACACTATTTGATCGTTCCCACATGTATGCAGTATCCTCAGTGTACATGTGACGAGGCGAAGTGGCCGCCCTTCTTTTGTGTTCTGCGCTGGCATGGGTTTTCGTCTGGCACAATTGTGATAGTTTTCAAACTGTCGTTTAGTTTTATGCTATCCTGAAGGTTAGCGAAACTTTTAGCATCGTATGAGACCATACTATCTATAAGGTGCAGTGTAGAACCAAATTATCCGGACAGAATAGATTGTTATATTGCTAAAAATATGCAGCAATAATGGGCCAAACACAACAAGGCATATACGAATAGATATAATCAAGAACCACGTGTAGAAGTACCCAATAAATTCATAGTTACCGCTTACGGATAATTGATGTCCCTATGTATTGACGGGCACACTGTCAAGTATTTGGATAACTGCATAACCTGTCGCTTAGCTGTCGTGAACGGAAACATCGTCTTAAACGGTGCTATCTTCGGAGTTCGCTGTTTTCAAACCGCCGTCAGTAACAATATCTCCGCATCCATTCCGCTCAACTATACAAAAGTTTTCATGCTGTTTGGATTGACCGTTGTAAGTTGGTTGAAGTGATTGAGGAATGGCACTATGGCTCACGAAAATTTATGGTGTCTTTCGTGGTGTAGTATGGACGGAAATATCGAGTGTTTGAGGTTGAACTAGGAGCAAGCCGAAATGACAGCATCGCGTTTGTATGGCCAGTCACATAGGGCGTTATGTCAACGTGTGTGGATGTTGAGAGGGGAAATGCTCACCCAGCAGACCATAGTTTGTCATCAAACACTGGTTAGAATATAATGTTTTGCATATGCCCCAGAAAGTGAGTCGTTAAAATGTTCCTTGACTCGATATCACGGATCAATCCATTTAAGCGTTGATTATCTGTGAGGTCACTTTTTTTCAGAACAACTGTTCTGAGGAGTAAGTGGGGATAAATTCCCCCGAGGTAACATATGTGCCGCAATGTGTCTACATAAAAAGTGAACACGGAGGAATCAACTAGCTTACACAGGCTGGTTAAACAGATTTTAGCTGTTGAACATCCAAACGCATATCGGGTTAACCAGAACTACAGGAGGCTAGTGGGTTGATATACTGCATCAGGATTTCCTGGAGACCTGTAATCGTCCCACAAGACGTAGAAGTGAAGTCGAAAAGCAATTGGTTTACACTAGCTCGAAAAGGGATATTGGGTATTGACATCTGTTGAGGCGTACATTATTCGAGTATACCGTTGTTATGGTAACATTTTGGCAATTATAAGAATGAATGAGGAAGAGGAATCACCAAAACCTCGAAGCATATTTATCAGTGAAATAGACTGCTTCGTGGGTAGGAGTATCGGAAAAGTTGGTTGACAAAACTTCTTAAATGTGTTGATTCTCAAAGTATTTAGCAACACAAATTCCTGGTGTTGGGGTTGAGGAAGTATTTCAGGATTCAGACCTGGCAGCTGAGAATCATTGGGAAGCTAGTGAACCTCCTGCTCCGAAGAAAAACTGTTTCACAATAAATGGTACACTTCGGTACTCCAAGTCAAAGAAACCATCCTTTGCAAAGGATATTTTAGATGTAACCTAAAATTGTTCTGGACTTGATGTGTTGTAATTCGCAGTATGAAGATCGTCATAAGTTTCTCGAGCACGTGTTGGAACTCGATGTTATTATATATGACATAACAGAAAATCCCGATCAGATAAAAGAAGTTCTATGGCTGCTGGAAGCCCTGGAGCAACAATCAAGAGAGTTCGTTACACAAAAGAAATTTTTTCTCATTACAAATTTAATGAGCTGGCTGTCAACGAAGCCAAGTGACCCGGTCAGTTTGTTAGTACTCTGATTAATGAATAAATGTTCACTCAATATATTAATGGGTTGATTTGACCAGTATTTTTATAGAAGCAGCAGAAGACAAATAAAATACAAATAGGCATTAGAAGGAAGGTGGGACCAATGAAGTAGTCGAAATGTGTGGAGGGAAGTTTCATAATTCATCTATGGCAAGCAATCAAAACCCACGCTGGTTTAATTTTCGACTGTTATATTGGTCTCCTTTTGTTTACACAAAAATGTTACTAGTGAGCAATTCCAAGTTACAGTAATGAGAAATAATTTTGAGTTAGGAAAGACAAGTGATCTGCCGTAAATCTTGGGCAGCACTGACTTTAGTTGTGATGTTGTTTTGGCGGGTTCTGCTTATCCCTTAGCTGTCTCTTTGATACACTGAATTCATTCCAGTTCAAATTAATTGAGATGGAGTAGTATATTCTAAATTTTGTGCTCCTCTTTTATGATCCCCAGGGTATTGCAGCCTAGTGGAGTGGAAGGAAGAAGTGGGGCTTTTGGCTAAAATCGTTTACTGAGATTCTTTACACCATGATTATGTTTGCTTTCTGTGTACTATTCTATGCGGAAGAAATATTCAGCTGCTGTAGTCTTTTCACCAAAGTTGAGGTGACTATCATGGGAATCATGTGTTGGGTGCCTCGTGGAAGTTTTCTAGAAGAACTGAGTTAACTCCTTGGTGGACACAGATGCAGTAATATGAAAAACTAGGCTGCTATTTCATGTAACTACCAACCTAAAAAGAAGACAGCGCAAAGTTTGAAACGTAAAAAGGAAGTCAGAAGGTAAACAAACGCAGCTGGATATCAAAAACAGAGGTCTACTCTCTGTCTCTTGTCAACAAGAATCTCTCTGATTAACCCTAGCAGACAACATGATAAATGACACCACCTAGGAAACAATAAAAATGGACATACATATTTTCACAAGAGTCTATAAACGATTCTTTATGACCATGTCTTTAAGATGGTGAGCTCCTGTAAATTCCAGTACTAAACGTTATTTTTATCATTCAAGACTTTAGTAATTCGTGAAACTCTTCACTAAGGTCTATCAAAATGATGTCTACAGGCTTTTTGCCATCTGCGGAAATAATCAAACATTCCCTTGCTGTTTGTAGACATGTAAACTGAGTTAGCTTTTGTGAAGGCTAATGTGTGAGCCAGATAGTAGAGCGTTGCTTTGAGGTGAGTTATGAAGGGTTTCTCTATTACACCTTTACGATTTTAATCACAATACTGGTCATACTTATTTGTTCCTAAGTTTGTGAGCGTTGCCTAGTCAACTTTTCGTTGATAGACGTGACTGTAGCGTTGTTTCTAGCATAATGTCCCATAAGTTTACTGAGGGATTCTCTTATTGTGGTGTTTGATGGCGAGGCTACAAAAGTTTCAAGTTCTCTGAACACATTTGAATGCTAATCATGTGGTTCTGTTGACTTTTAGGCACCAGGATTCTCCAAAATTTCAAAAGTATTACTTTAACCTATGTTCACGCAAGTGCAGTCAGCATTTTTGTCGTCAGCTTACTGCTAGTAGTGTTTTATATGTGTGGACCTCATTGAATGGTACGCCAAGAATCCATAACGTCTTTCTTATCTGCGATTTTCGTGTCATTAACCAGATGGTGGTATCGTAATGCGTCACTTTCATAATCTATTTAAAAGTAGTTCAAGTTGAGTAATGAAACGGATAAAGTATGGGTCTGAAAATACGTCCGTTATCTGTGAATTTCTGAAATTCCTGTTGAGCACTACCTAATCTTCCAGTATATGTTTATGTGCAGTGCCCGTTTCTGAGTATCAAGTCCAGCAAAATATCCTAAAACAATAATTGCAACTAGTTAGGATGTTCTCATGGGGTTAACTAGAGTGGAGACACCAAGATATATTTTACCTGAATATTTCATTTGAGAGAACAGACTCTTAGGGTTTTCTATACCATCCCAAGAGATGGCGGATTTGAAGTTTATTTGTAAGTGGTGGAATGTGGTACTACATGCTTTCTGAGCCATATTATCCTCACTGTTCGCCTTGAGTGTATCAAGGCTAATGACGTGAGTTCAGTTTGTCTTCCTCAGCTGTAGCGATCGGCGTATTTATCCGTGAAACAAACCACTGAGTCACTTGAGTGCACAGATATTCGAGGAAACAATGAGACTTCGACTGGAGTCTGTACATTGGTGGCCCAAATGCTATGAAGTACCTGTCGATGTATTAACTGCTCTGTTAGTCTTTCATATTGAGTCGATCTGCAGTACTGGCCAGGGTTACATGGCAGCTGTAAACTTGAATCTAATTACTTCATGGTCATTTTTGGTGAGTAGCAGAATATCCTAGACTGGTATTTTACATGTACTATAAGTTGTTCTCATCTTTCAACTTCTTAGGGAGGACAGTAACCTTAAATTTCAAATGGTGTCATCCAAAGTTGTTGTAAACTCTATGAAACCACCTGCATTTGAAAATACGTTACAAAGTTGCAAGCTCTGCAGTAGCACAAGTTGTGGCTGTATCATAGATTTGAGGTAACGGTTGTCAGATAATCGTGGATCTTCTTACTGCAATGACGCTGTCAGCTTTGTGGTATGCAGCTTGTATGTGTGACAGTTGGGTGGTATTTCTTAGTCTAGCCAACTCCGTCTTTCAATGTGAGAAAAAATACTTAGATTAAAAGGTACCTGTGAATTGTTGATTTTTGTGGGAATACACTGGAAAGTCTTCCATCTCAGGACTTTACATAATTTACCACAATCTTACATTAGGGTTTATGGCAGTACGTTAATGCCACATTGATAGAGTTTAAGTGTTGATTTCTATTATCTTGAACGTGTTCGTAAGTAAGTTAACACTAATACAGTCAGCCAACTAAACATGTACATTTTTGGTCAGTATGTGTTTCAGGTGACAGAATGAATATCTCATATATGTCTCCTTTACGGGCATGGTCCCGTTGGTCAGTAGCACTAGTCTATTATTATTTTTCCCTTGGGTTTCTAGTAAAACATAGGGTCTCGGTAGCACGTCTCTTTTTCACTCTATTCTCTGAAATCTTCTTAACTTGGCTCCCCCAATGCCCATAAGCTTTCATTTCTTCTTCATACGATCTCCTGCATGTCACCCTGAGACGTCTAATTCGTCATCTCGCATTTGGCTTCTACCCGAGGGTCTGGCCTGGCGCGTAATGTCCCCAAATGGTCTACTCAGTATATGTCTGATCCAATCCAATCGATCTCCGCTTTCTTCTTCTGCATATTTTTTGAACGGTGCGTTATTGCGTGGCTCACTACCAGCCAGACTCCTTTGCTGCTTATTCTTATAATTCTGGCCATCTCATCCCCATCTTCAGTATCAAGTGAGCGTAGGTGGCAGCTGTTGATGGTGTATGTCTGTAGTTAGTTGGAAATGCTTTTCGTAACGCGACAAGTCTCTCAACCATCACGTGGAAGCACTGACATGACTGACATGCGTGTTGAAAATCTGGATATTGTTCATGCTTTATGTTGAGTGCAGTGCAGTGCAGTACAGTAGATCTGCACACTGATCATTTCAGATCAATGAATGCCTGCCTTGCCGTCTTTTCAAGCCTGGCTTTGACATTCTGATCTGTGCCGCCACCAGTAGTTGAAGCGATGCTGCCTAGGTGTGTAGGTGTGTAGGTGTGTAGGTAGGTAGGTGGGTGGATGAAAGAGACAACTTTGTTTAGACTTCTCCTGTTGATGGTGATTGATGCTTGTTATTATTGCTGGTTGAGTATCTTTATTTGTCACCTCTGTCTTCTGTACGTTTGCCTGAAGGAAGTTTCATTTTCCTTCGCTGCCTTGCGTCTTCACCCTACTTGCTAGTTTTCGCCTGCAGACCTTCGAGTTTGTGCGACAAGGCACTAGACATAAATTATTTTCTGCGAAATCCAAATCTTCTACAGTCTTTTCATCAGTCAGACAGCGTATGCCCATCTTTTCACTCCTCACAGTTTGTCCCATGATCCAGCCCAGTCCGGTGCAGTCAACCACAATCAGGAAGATGATCGGTGATAGTAGGAGGCAACCTTGTTTTTCTCCTGTGTTCACTTCAAAGGCGTAACTGACCTTTTCATTGTGGGTCACTTGGCATGTAGCATAGCATATTGTCATTGAATGAGATTGATAAATGTTTGTGGCATTCAAACCGTAGTGTTGAAGCAGCTGGTAAATTACTTCTTGGTCAAGTTTATCGAAGGCCTTTTCAAAGTGGATGAAGTTCAGTTGACTGCCATTCTATGCTCCGCTCTATGATGATGCCTAGTGCTGTACTTTAAACCTCACATGATTTGTTCTTTCTGAAGCCAGCCATCCTGTTTCGATCATAATTTTGAATCCAGAGCATTTTTTAGTTTCTCCGGGAAGATGTGGCTTTATGTTTTGCATGGGGTAGACAGGAGCATGATTCTGCGCCAGTTCTTGCAAGGACTTAAGGAGTATGAGATTGTAACCCTTCTTCCAGTCAATCGACAGGTACCTTTCCTTCCTCGTAAACCTTCTGCAGTAGTGATGTGAGCATGTCCTTTGTCATCTCTGCGTTTGTTTTCAGTGCTTCTGGTGGAATTCCATTTGGTCCCGCTGCTTTTCTGGCTCTCAGCAACTTTCTGGTGTTAAGCACCTCACTTCTGCTTTTGTGGGAGGGTTTGTGTTCACTGGTAGTTCTGCGGCTTGTTTGCTGGTGGTATTTCTGGACGAGTTGTAAGTGGTGGTCGATTCAAGAGCTTTCTGAAGTGATCAGCCCATCATTTCCTTCGTTTCTCCTCCTTGGTAATTAGGTTTCTTTCACTATCTTCCGTTGATTTCATCTCTGTTGATCTCATCCCTCCCAGATGGTAACCTGGTTATTTGCTATAGTGTTGTCAGGTCTCTGTCTCTCTTACCTGCAGCCTGTTCTGCTTCACATGCCAATGTGTCGTGGAGGTGTCTTTTGTCTTTGCGCTTCATTGTCCAGTGTTT